TTTCCAATAATTCCAGTCATTGGAGTGGAGCTGTAGAGGTTCTAGGGTGAGCATGCGACAAAACCAGGGCCTATTGAATTGAACCAGGTTAGTAACTAGCAGTGCCATCTGCTGGTACTTTCTTCAGCCAATTTATTTTAATTTGGCCCCAGCCCCAGATTTTCCCCTGGATTCCTGCAACTACTTCTCCTAGGACTTCTGTAGGGTCAAACTCACCCGCACCACTACTGTTTACCTGGATCTCTAATCCCTGGCTTGTTCCTGACCACTAAGTACTTTCAGTTTCCTTGGCATTTGCTATATTTTCCTGTTTTTCATGCCCAAGTGAATCTTTCTCTTGATCTGAATACCACACTTATGACATCAGCAAAACCCCCAATTATGGCAATACGGCTAAAATAAAAGACCGGAAGGGAAAGTTGGTAGGAGGAAAAAAAATCTGATTTTTCAAGATTAGTTCACAGGAATTTATTAGAGAGGCAATGAGTGACATAGTGAAATGCGTGCTATTCTTAGAGTCATGAAGACCTGGGTTCAAATTCCACCTAGTCAGAGAGTTCACCTTATCAATGGAATTTCACACCGAGTCTAAGAAACGTCATCAATGGAAAAACAGATGACCACGTTAATATGTCAATAAGGACCCAGGAATAATGCCTGGGCACCCCTTTTCTCAGCAACACATAGATATACACATGCTTGTTTACATGTTTAGACGAACAAAGCCTACTTAGCACTCTTGTGAACTTCTCTGGACCTCAGTTTCACTGTCTATAAAATAAAGAAGTTGAATTACATGGTCTCTAAGTTCCCATTTAACTCTTTATTTTCCTAGTGAAAAATCTCAGAGTTGCCAGTAACATGAAAAAAAAATTGAGCTCAGAATTTTTAGCAGGTGCTGGGTATGATAAGTTGTTTTCTGTTTATCCTTTCAGTGACTTCTTTAATACTAAAACTAGTGAGTGCTGCTGAAAAAGTCAGCATATTGGCTACATCATTTTATTGAAACTTCAAAAATTAACCCTTCTGTTCTGTGCGGTCTTTCTTGGATAGCTTGAATGATGGCCTGAGTAGGCTCACTCTCTATTTTGTCTTTGAAATTTTGAGGTAGAATGATTTTCATTTTCTTTATAGAGTGATCTACAGTGTTATTGTTGCCTTTGAGATTTTTCCCATCTTCAGGTGTCCTCAATATCTCTGATGTTTCTGCACTTCTAGACCAAGGCTTCTTAAACTTTTTCTACTCGTAACCCCTTTTTGTTCAAGAAATTTTTATGTGACCCTTAGGTATATAGGTATATAAAATAGGTATACAAATCAAACATTTATTGATAAGAAATGATAAAGAAATTTATTTTAAAACAATTCTTTGGCATACATATAATTTTACCATTCATTAAAGATGAAAGCAAATTTGCATACTAATGAAATGGATGTGCTTGTTTATTTTTACATAAGGAATTAAATCTTGGCAGAATATTTGATACTGCAGGACATAGAATATCTTCAAAGTTTTTCAGAGTTGATCAATATTTTGATTTTATAATAGTCAATGCTGAGAATACTGCTTTCCATAAATACATACTATAAAATGGCAGAAGTATATTTAGGGACATTTCAAAAACTATTGGAAATTCTGTCCTAATGCCAAGCCAAAATTCATTAAATGATTTTTTAGGTAGCTCAAGTTTTAAACTTGTGTTGCTTGATAACTCAACAAATTCTTCTTGAACTTTTAATGGCAGAAGACTGAATTTTTTTTATTTCAATTGAGTATGGTTTATGAACCCAACTAGAATAAAAATTTGAAGGGAAGTATTTCTGAACTGTATCTCTAGGCACTTCAGATGATCCACTAGAACTCTTACAATTAAATCTTCGGGAATGTTATTTTCAATTATGAAATCATCTGTAGCTGTAAACATTTCTAAAGAACAATTTTCCACCCTATTTTTTCATATGTTAACTTTTTAAGTAAAACTTTCAATTTTATCTTTTAACATAAATATGTTACAAGTTTTTGCTTTAAGGGACATATTTAAATCATTGAGTTTTCCTAAAATATCTGACAAATTAACATAATTTTGAAAGCCATAAGTTATTACGAAAAAAATTAACAGAATCAGATTTCTGCTCAGTTAAAAAATATAACTTCATCTTTCAATTTCAATAATCTGTTTAAACTTCACCCTCTTGAGAGCCACTGTACCTTTGCAGGTAGTAATAAGCTTTTGCAATTGGAGTCTATGTCTTTCAAAAGGTTTGAAAACAAATGACTGTTAAAGGCATGGCTTTTAATTACGTTAATGATTTTGATAGTATCATGAAGCATAATTTTTTTTAATTACAAGTGCATCCTGATGGGTCATGCAATGAGTAAAAGTGATATGTTCATTGCCACCAGCTTTAACTCTGCTACAAATCCAACAGTCTCACCCATCATTGCTCTAGCACCATCTGCACAGACTCCAATGCAATTTTTCCACTGTTAACCTTCATTTGTGAAAAATTCCTCAACTTTAAGATATGTATCTTCCCCTCTTGTATGCCCTTCCAAAGGGTGACAAAACAATACTTTCTGACATATGCTTCCTTCATAAACAATCTTACATAAAGTAACAACTGTGCCACATTAGATATACCAGTTGCTTCATCTAACTGAATTGCAAACTTTGGGCTGCCCTTAAGCCTGGAAATAAGCTGCTGGAATGGGCCATTACTGATTTCAAAAACTCTTTTGGAAATAGTATGACTTGATAAAAGAATTTTATGAATGCCATTCCCATACTTTTTTCCATGAACTATTTCTGACATTTTAATAGCAGCAGGTAACATGAACTCTTCTATCATGTAGGGCTTTTTAGTTTTTGCAATTAAATAAGAAGTTTCACAAGATGCAAGTAAATACTTTTTATTGACAGTAAGAAATTTCTGAAAACATTGAAGATTTTAAAAGTCATTCAAAATATTCCTTTAGTTTATTGCAGAACACTGCTTGCTTGGTATTAAGGTGTCATTTTATTTTGGCTGGTTTCATGCTCTCTACAGCCAAAACTTCATTACAAAGCAGTTTTTCCACACCATCATCATTATTAGAAGTAAATCCATATTGCAAAAATGATTCAACATATTTTCTTTTTCTTGTTAATTTAGACATAATACAACCTGGTAGCAGAGACTCTGCCACGTTGTTATCAGCATTTTTACCTCTTCTGTCTAAATTTAGCCACTTATCCATAACTCAAAAATATTTTTGTCCTAAAATGTAAATAAATATTGCTAATAATTTCTCAAATAAATACTAGCTTTAGTGTATGGAATTACATTTGTGCTTAATTTAAAAAACTGATGTTCACACATACACATACAGTGATGATGGAAGAGAAATGTTATTAAAGGGCTTTTGTCTTTACTTGCTGAAATTAAACATTTAACGTTTCTGTAAAAGAAGAATATAATAGCAATTTTAAAAAATCAAACATTCTAACACAATATTATCGAAAGATATACTAATTTGATACTTACATGCTGAGGAATGATGGTAGGAAAATATTAAAAGTCTTTATTTTCCATAATTAAACTATTATGTTTCTGTAAGAGCAGAAAACTTTGTATGTACAGTAAAAACACTGCAATTCATAACATACAATAGTCTTGAATCTGACCCAAGGTGGTTTCTGGCAGCATTAGTTGGTGTTGTGTGGCATGATGGCATGTCCAGTGCAAAGTGTGCACATTGCATGTTCAGAACCAAGGCTACAGTGAAATTGTGCAATGGGAAAGCACTGCCAGAAATACCCTGGATTCATTACATGTTTGCTTTTGAATTAATTTTTGGTCCTTGCGTGTTCAGAAACCTTTTACTGTTGCCAAATTTTTGTGACCCCCCCCCCACATTCAGTTACATAACCCCATATGAGGTTGCAACCCACAGTTTAAGAAGAGCTGTTAAAATCTAGACTGTTCTTTGGTCATTCTTCAGCTGTCTATGTAATATAGACTGACAAATATTCTCATTGCTTTGATATGATTAAGTCAGATTTAATCTCAATATCACAATTACTATAACAGTTGTAATTGAATCATCTGCAACATATATTTTGGCTTATAAAAATAGTTGGAAGACTGAGTGTTGTATATGAGGAATAGTAGAGAGGATAGAGTCACTGGATTATAAAGTATGTGGAGGTAAGGAAGGTAATGAGGTAATGAAGGAGGTATGAAAAACTGGAAAGGCAGGAGAGTGCCAGGTTAGGAAGGGCTTTAAAAGTCAAACAGGATTTTATATTTGATTCTGGAGATAAAAAGGAGTCACTGAGGTTTATTGAATAGGGGAGGTAACATGGTCAGACAGGTGCTTCAGACAGGAAGATCACTACTGGAGTAAGAAAAGATGTGAGGCAGGGGGAATCACCAGAAGGCTACGAGGGTCTCTATCCTAAGGTGACTGGCAGTATCTGAGGAGAGAAAGGGGTATGTAAGAGAGATATTTTAAAGGCAGAACCCCCAGAATTTGGCAAAAGTTTGGACATGCGGTGTGACAGACAGTGAGAAGTGGAAGGCGACTCTTGGTTGAAAGCTTGGATGTTCATGTAACGGTTAAGTCGGAGGAGGAGGAAAAGAAGGAGGAGGGGGAGGGGCAAGAGGGAGGGGAAGAGGAGAAGAAAAGAAAGGGAGGGGGAGAAAGAGGGGAGAAGGAAGAGTAAGAGAAAGAGAAGGTGGGGGTGGGACCAGAGGAAGTGGAGGAGGGAGGGAAGAAGATGAAAGACCAGTGGGGGGAGGGGAAAGGAGGAAAAGTGAGTGCGCGTTCTGCGCCCCTCCTGCCAGCAGAGGGCGCCTGTCGCCCTGCAGCGCCGCGCCGGAGGAGGAAGGCGACGTTCCTTCCCCTAATCTTCCTACCTTTCTCTACTTCTCCTTTCGTCTTGCCCGCCAGGCAGGGGGCGGGGACGCGCCGTGCGTGCGGCGGGGGCGGAGTGGGGGTGGCGGTGGCGGTGGCGGCTGCAGGGAAGACCTGGGAGCCGCTGGTGCCCGGTAACGGAGGCCGCCGCAACCACCCGGGCCCAGCCCGCACCCCCTCCGGCACCATGGAGATCGGCACTGAGATCAGCCGCAAGATCCGGGTGAGGCCCGAGCCGGCGTCGGTCTGTCAGTCAGCCCGGCCCGGGGTGGGGGTGGGGGTGGAGGGAGCGTTGGCGGGAGCGGCGGGCACTGGGCTGGGGTCTGGGGGAGGGGGCGGGGCAGGCATGGGACCCGAGCGGAGGCCGAGGCTCAGCGGGGCGCCCGGCTTGTCAGGCGTGACGAGGGTTTTGACTGGGGCCTTGAGGACCCTTTCTCTTTGCCTCTGGCGGCTTCGGGCGGGCTCTCTGGCGGCCGCTCCCCCTCCCCCCGACGCCTGCGGGTCGGCCTGGTCGCCTCAGTCTCCCTCGGCTGTTTTGCTCTGAAGTGTGCGAGCTGCTCTGGGCTGCAAGCTGCGTTTTGTTGTTTTTTGTTTGTTTGTTTTTCTCGTAGACCCCTTATAAAGTCACCTCCAGGGCTTGTGGCGGCGTCCTCCCACCTACAGCAGAGCTTTTAATGAGCCTCCTAATTAGAGACCTGAGGCTTTTCTTGAAATCCACTGTTCTATTGCTGAAAATTGCCTGAGGGGGAGGGCGGGTTGAGGGGCGCTGTCTTTACAATCCTGACCAAATGTGATCATCTCTGATCTGCTAACAAGAAAAAACGAATAATTCATCAAGTTAAATTACAATCCTGACCAAACGTGGTCATCTCTGATCTGCTAATAAAAAAAAAAATAATTCGTCAAGTCAAATTTTGGAATATGTATTGTTTTTGAAAAGAATGTGGCCCGTGTCAGCAAAAATCCCCCCCAAAGTAGATGAATTTTCAATATAGATATTTATTTTGCTTTATTACACTGGCTCCTTGTGATGTTCAATTTAGGAACTAGTATGGGATTAAGTAAATATGCCAGGAAAATCAGTTTTTTCAAAGACTGTAACTAGGCAATCTCAGTTTCAAAGTTGGACGTCATTTGGTTGTCCGAGTTCATGAAGCTTTGATTTCTTTGTGTCTTGTTCTGTCATATTTTAAATGATAATTTCATTTCTCATGTGCCCAATTTTTCTTCAGAGTGCCATTAAGGGAAAATTGCAGGAATTGGGAGCTTATGTTGGTAAGTTTTGTTATATTTGTAAGTTACAAATTTGATAGTTTATTGGTTTATATTATTAGAGATACCATAGAACCATAGAATTTCAGAGTCCAACCCCTTCCTGAAAAGGAGTCCTCACCACTGTATCCTGGACAAATAACCATCCAACTTGAGCTTGAAGATCTCCAGTGGGGGAACAGTGAGTTATACTGCCTTCTGACAGGCCATTCCACTTTTAGATAGTTCTTGTTGGGAAGATTTTTCTTACATTTTGTAGAATTTTGCCCTTGTCATTTAGACACATTGTTGTTAGTTCTGCCTTCTGGGACTAAGATGAACAAGTCTAATCTCTCTTCTGTAAGATACTCCCTTCAGTTACTTGAAAGCAGCTATCAACTCCCATTTTGATAAGTTTGTTCTTTAGGCTGAGTTCCCACCACCAGTCAGTACTTTTAAAGCATGACATTGAGGCCCTTTACCATGTTGGCTGCTTTTCTCTGAATTTTCTTGAACTTTAGGTCCTTCTTAAAATGGACCCAAAATTGAACAGAATTCCAAATGTAGTCTGACCAGCGTAAAGTACTCACTTTTGATTTCTCTGTATCACAATTACCTAAGATGTCACTGACTTTTTTGGTTGCTAAGTTATGTATTCATATTGAGTATTAAATCAGAGAAGTCTTCTTGATTTTTTTCTTTTTAATTTTGAACTATTGCTTAGCTGTACCTCCCCCATATTAGGAAAGGAGATGTCTTAAACTGAAGTGTAAGACAACATTTGTCTATTTTAAATTTGATCTTACTAGATTTGGCCAAATTTGCTAGGCTTTAAAGATCATATTGACATAGATTAGCTATTCTTTCCGGCTTTTTGTTACTTCAAAATTTAGTAAATGTGCAATCGAAGCATTTATCCAAGTCGCTGATGAAAATACCAAGGTTTTAGAGCAGGGGATCAAAAACCTTTCTTGTGTCATCCACCCCTTTGTTAGTTTAAAACCTGTGAACCCCTTATCAATATAAAGTTTTTAAGTTCCTAAAATAAATGAGATTACAAAGGATACTTAGTTGAATTGAAATAAAGATGTAATTTTTTTTCCCATACAAGTTCATGGACACCCTGAAATATACCCTTGTATCCCACGTTAAGAACTGCCCCCCCCCCCCCCAATTTCTTCTTGTTTTTAAAACTTTACTGGAACTCTTTGTATATGAGTCTTCTTCATCTGGCCATTCTTATTGTATTTATGATTTGGGGAGTTTTATTAAGATTTTATCATATTTTCTCTATCTTGTCACCTTTACTTATTTGTCTATTCTAGGTTCTTATTTCCTCACTTGGGTACCTCATTTTTAGAGCTGTTTTGTTACATGGTTTTGTTTGTTTTTTTTTTTAACATTTTCATCTCTTTCCATACCTAATAGTGAATGCTTGTATCTTTGTTTTTAGGCTTCCGTTTTGTTTACCATTCTGTTGATGTGATAATGCATCTTCATAGGTTTTTGAAATTATTTATTGTATGTATTGTATTGTCTCTTGGCTGCTCTTTTCATCCAGTTAAAGATTGTTCCAAGTAATTCATTTTTTCCTACTCCTGGTCCTGTCTCCTTGCATAATATTAATTTTATCCTTTTTCTTCTCTGGTTTAGATAAAATGAAAAATGATTACAAGGATTCCAAAGAAATCCATACAATTAAAATGTATTACCTTACAATCTTCATATATTCAAAGATGTTATGCTGTGACTTTGTATTCCTTGATTAATAGAAGTTGTACAAATAAAATCCTTTATTTGGAGTTTGAAGGTACCTCAGTGGCCATCTAGCTTCTGAAATGTTCATTAATCCTGTGTAGTTGTCAAAGCACTTTAGTATACATTATTTTGTTTGAACCTTACAACAGCCTTATGAGATGGACAGAGCAAATATCACCTTCATTTTACAGATGAGGAAATGATGCTCAAAGAGGTTTAAGTAAAATGCTAGTCACTGGCAGACTTAGGACTAGAATCTCCAATATTCACCATTATCCACCTCATAATTTTCATTTGCCTTGTTTATAGAATTGCATAGCAGATGTAAATGTTAGAAGAGAATGCAAAAAGCTTTCTAGGCTTCTGAAAACTTAGTTCTTCAGCATATATTTATTAGGTACCTACTCTGTGCGGAGCATAAAATAAAGAGTCCCATGAAGCCTTTGTTGATACCCTCAACTGCTAATGCCTTCTCTCCCAAATTACTTTGTATTTATGTATTATAAATCTATTTGTATTTATTCTCTTTGCATTCTGTATAGTCTTATATAAATACTTATCTTTCCCATTAGAATGTAAACTCCTTGAGAAGAGGAATTTTTTCATTCATTTATTTGTATTCCCAGTGTCTTGAACTCTGCCTGGCACAAAGGAGGTGCTTAATAAATGCTGATTGATTGATTAAAATTTCGTTGTCTCAAGCACCTTATTTTCTAAGGGGAAAGATAAGATGCCTCCAAACGTGTGTGTTATTCAGTTGTTTTGTAGGCAAATAAAGATGTCTTGAAATTAGTGTTCTTTAAGAAGGATGGGTATTGCTTTATTTGGTGAGGGTATAACTAAAGAAATTTAGTGTTGTTTTATAGTATACCTTCAGCACATTCTTGGATTGGAGAAATTTTTATTAGTCAATATTTTTATGATTTTTCCCCCCAGTGAATGGCCTTGAACAAAGCTAAAGCCATCAGTGATGCATAACAGTGCAGTGTTGACATTTCCATTTTGTGTATTAAATTTAAAAATTTTTATATTATATGGTTGTAGAAGTGTTTGGTGTGGGCTTTTTCCATTTCTTTCTTTTTTTTCCCCTGTAGTAGGCTTTATTTTTTCCTGACTTATATCAAAAAATTATCATGACTGGTTCAGTTGGTATAGTTCAGGTGCTTGAGAATCAGGTTTTGTGTATTTTCTTATTTCATGGAAGGATAGTTCATCAATTTTTTACAGTTCTACTTTCAGCTGGGTTTTGAAAAATCACAGAAGAAAAAAATAAGGAAAATATTTTTGTACAGATAAGTTTCTCCTTCCCCATGCCCAGTAACCTTCGTGAAGATATGGTCATATAGTCATAGGAATTCAGATTTGAACAAGGCCTTAGAAATCCAATATCTTTCATTTTATAGATGAGAAAACTGAATATCAGAGAAGTTAAATGATTTCTCCAAGGTTTCATAGTCGTAGAATCAGAATTTGAATTGAGGTTTTCTGTCTAAAAACAGTGCACTTTCCATAGCACCTTGCTACATGTCTAGCAGTAAGACATCCAGGTCAAATGGTACACAGGATTTTTTTTTTTTTTTGTAACTCACTATTACAATTACACATTGATTTCCAAAATGGTTTAACCAGTTCACAGTTCCATTAGCAGTGTATTAGGGTAACTTCTTACCAGTCACACCATTATTAAATTTTGTCATTTTGGGGGGTTTGTTTTTGTGTGTGATTTAACCTTCATTTGGAAGTTCATTGTGTATTGTATGTGACCTGAGTTTTGTAGCTTTTAATATTGTTTTCATTTATGTTGTAGTTATTTTGTATAGTATTCCTTTGGTACTTTCCATTCTTTGATTCAGTTCCTACAAGTGTTTTTTTATATATTCATTCTTATTTGGCATGCCCTATGGTACAATAATATTCCTTTACATTTATCAACTATGATCTGTCTGGCCATCCTGTAGTCATTGTGCACATAGTTTATTTCCAACTTTTTTTTCATTCTAGTAATGCTGCTAGGAATTTTTTGATACATCTTGGATTTTCTGTCATTGGCCTCCTGGGTTATATCTAAGTACTGAGATCATTGTACCAAAGAATATGAAAAATTTAGTAACTTTTCTTACACGATTCCAAGTGTTTTCCTTAATAGTTGGACCAGTTCATAGCTCCTTGTGCTTTTCTATACATATCCCTTCAACATTGAATTTTTCTGTCTTTTGACATCTTAGACAGTTTGATGGGTATGAATTGATATCAAAGAGTTATTTTGACTTGCATTTCTTTGATTTTTTAAAATCTTGAAGTTTTTTGGATGATAATTTTTCTCCTTTTGAAAACTGTTCATATTCTTTGACCACCTGTCTACTGAGTTGCCCTTGTAGATTTGTACCATTTCTGTACAGATATAGGATGTCAGATTTATAGATTTGTGTCAAATTTCTATAGGTTTCAGATAGTAGACATATCAGAGTGTTTGGAGCTATATAATCTCCTTTATTCCTTGTCTGGTTAGAAATTCTAAAATTGTGAAAGATTTTCATGATATAGATAATTTTTTACATCTAAATTGTTTACCCATTTGGAATTTATTGTATTTAAAGGTATAAAATGTTTGTCAAAACCTATTTTCTACCAAACTGTTTTCCTATTTTCCCAGCAGTTGAATAAAGTCCTCTTCTAGTAGTTTGGGGAATTGCAGCATGGTTTATTATAAAAAGTCACTGGATGTGGAGTTAGAGGACCTTCAGCCACTTATTATTTGCATGACCGTGGACAACTAACTTAACTGACCCTTAATTTTTTTTTATATCTAAAATGTTAGCATAGGTACTAGATAATATCCAAGGTCCTGTGTAGTTTTAAATCAGTGATCCTGGATGTTGAATTTGTTGATTTCTATAGATTGTTATGTACATTTGCTCCTCAGTCTTGCTTATATGATCTATTCCACTAAGGTGGTCTTTTTATTGTCTTTGATATTCTTAAATTTAGGCTTTTCATTCAATTATTATTTATCTGTTGTATCAAGTGAAAAGTATCAAAAAAAAGCTAGAAAAATGTTGGTTTTAGCTTTTAGCTTAATAATTCCCCCGATAAAGCTTATTAAAACTGTCAGGTATTTAATACTAGGCACTGGAGATTCAAAGACGAACAAAATAGTTCATGCCCTCAAAGACTCCAATTCTACTGGTATGATATAGTATGTATATAGGAATATATGATTTCCTTAGCTTAAGAAACTCTAAGTTTGGAATTTCTTCTATAAATGAATATAATTGTCTATGATTTAATAGATAAGGCCCAGAGAGTGTTCTGAGCCAGTTGGACATCAGAAGTGGGATTTGAATCTAGGTGTTTGTCAGTTACTTTATTTAATCTATTATGCCATATTGTCTCTATATGAAGTGTATATAGATAAGTAAATAAAAAACAATTTGGTACGAGAGAGAATATTAATCATCTGGGACCTAGGAAAAGTTTTGAGTAGATGTCACCTGAACTGAGCTGGAGGTGGAGATGAAGATAAAAGGCATGGGAAACCATTTGTAGAGAGGAGATTGAGCATTGAGTTTGTGGAACAACTAGTAGTCCAGTTTGGTTGGAATGTAGACTTGAGTGAAAGGGAATAGTATAAAATAAAGCTTGAAAGGTTGGTTGCAGCCAGATTGTGGAAGGCTTTAAGGTTCTTGCTGAGGAGTTTCTATTTCATACTAGAAGCAATAGAAAGCCACTGAAGTGAGCTGTTTGGAGAATGGACAGCAGGGAGATCAATTAGGAGGTTGTTACTGTAATCCATTCCAGAGGTGATGAGGGTCTGAACTAGTAGCCATGTTATGGGAGAGAAGGAGGAAGTTTTGAGAGATATTGTGGAGCTAGAATAGAGAAGACTTGAGGGATGAAGGAACAGGAGAAATCAAGGATGACTGAGTTTGTAGACCCTGAATAATTGGAAGGATGGTGCTGCCTTCAACAGAAATTGAGCAGTTTGAAGAATGGCAGGTTTTAGGAGAAACATGAGTTCCATTTGAGTTTGTGACACCCATGGGATATCCAGAAGGAGAAATCTAAGCAAGTGACTGATGAGGTGGGGGATAGGAGTTTAGGAGAGAGATGAGAGCTAGCTCTGTAAAACAGTGTGGTACAGTCTAAAGCATATTGGATTTGGAGTAAGAGGAACTGTGTTGGAATGTATGCTCTGCCATTTAGTAATCATATGACCTTGGGCAATTAATTAACGAGTTTATTAAGGGCTTATGATGTGCCAGACATTGGTCTAAGCACCGGGGGTACAGAGACAAAAGTGAAGTCCTTACGTTCAAGGAGCTTTCCCAGAGTGCCAGCGGAGTCCATATCACAAAAAAGTTTCATAACTCCTACAGTAAACCTAGAAAGGAGTCAAGTTGTAGAGAGACTAAAAGGTTAAACAGAGAAGTTTCTATTGGATACTAGAATTAATAGGGAACTAGTGGAGTTGGAGGGGGCAGGAAGGGTGGTTAACATGACCATACCTTCCCTTTAGGAAAACCAATTCAGTGGTCTTGTGGAGGATAGTTTGGAGTGGGTAGAGGCTGAAGGCCTAGGAGATCAAATGGGAAACTTATTGTAGTAGTTCACTTTTGAAATAGGGTGGTGGCTGAATGAGAGGAAAAGAGGGGATATATGTAAGAGATGTTGTAAAGGTAAAAAGGATCAAAGTTGGCAATTGATTAACTATGTGGCATGAGTGAAAATAAGAAGTTGAAAATGACATCAAGACACTGATGCCCTTGATAGTAATAGCTAAGTTTGGAAGAAGGGTAATTTTGAGGAGAAAGATAGTGAGTTACCCAACTTACTAGAGAACTTCCTCTTGTTTTTGTATCATAGAAGTACTGATGTACCACTTAGACTCTTCACTGCTATCTCCCATTCTTACTACATGATTGACCCATCTCCTTTGCCTGTCATCCATATCCTCAAGGACGTCTTTTACACTATTTCTTAGACACAGTTCACATGCTGGATTAAATATTTAACATTCACCATATCCTTGATAATATCTCTTGAATTTAATAGGGATTGTATCAGTATTTTTTTCCCCCTTTCCTGGCATTGCATGGAACTGAGTCAGCTTTCTTTTTTTATATATTTATTTATTTAGTTTTAGTTTTCAACATTGACTTTTTTATAATAAATTTATTTATTTTTAGTTTTCAACATTCACTTCCATAAGATTTTGAGTTCCAAATTTTCTCCCCATCTCTCCTCTCCTCCTACCCCAGGACAGCATGTAAATTGATATGGATTCAACATATACATTCATATTAAACCTATTTTCATAGTAGTCGTGTTGTAAAGAAGAACTAGACGCAATGGGAGAAACCATAAGAAAGAAGAAACAAAAAAAAAAAAGAGAGAACACAAATAATATGCTTCGATCTGCATTCAGACTCCATAGTTCTTTTTCTGGATGTGGACATTTTCCATCATGAGTCTTTTGGAGTTGTCTTACTTAGGTCTTTGCATTGCTGAGAAGACATAAGTCTGTCAAAGTTAGTTGTCACACAGTGTGGCTGTTACTTTGTACAATGTTCTCCTGGTTCTGCTCTCTGCAGTCAGCATCAGTTTACATACGTCTTACCAGGTTTTTCTGAAGTCCACCTGCTCATCATTTCTTATAGCACAATAGTATTCCATTACATTCATATACCACAGCTTGTTCAGCCATTCCCCAGCTGATGGACATCCACTCAATTTCCAGTTCTTTGCCATCACAAAAAGAGCTGCTATAAATATTTTTGTACATGTGGGTCCTTTTCCCATTTGTATGATTTCTTTGGGATACAGACCTAGAAGTGGTATTGCTGGATCAAAGGGTATGCACATTTTATAGCCCTATGTGCATACCCAATTCCAAATTGCTCTCCAGAATGGTTGGATCAGTTCACAACTCCACCAGCAATGCATTAGTGTTTCAATTTTCTCACATCTTCTCCAGCATTTATCATTTTCCTGTTTGTCATGTTAGCCAATCTGATAGGTGTGATGGTACCTCAGAGTTATTTTGATTTGCATTTCTCTAATCAAGAGTGATTTAGTGCATTTTTTTCATATGACTATTGATAGCTTTAATTTCTTCATCTGAAAATTGCCTGTTCATATCCTTTGACCGTTTATCATTTGGGGAATGACTTGTATTCTTATAAATTTGACTCAGCTCTCTATATATTTTAGAAATGAGGCCTTTATCAGAGACAGTGGTTATAAAAATTCTTTCCCAATGTTAAGCTTCCCTTCTAATCTTGATTGCATTCACTTTGTTTGTGCAAAAACTTTTCAATTTAATGTAATCAAAATTATCCATTTTGAATTTCATTGTGTTCTTTAACTCTTGTTTGGTCATAAATTATTCTGTTCTCCATAAATCTAACAGGTAAACTATTCCTTGCTCTCCCAGTTTGCTTATGTTATCACCCTTTATATCTAAATCATGTACCCATTTTTACTTTATTTTGGTATAGGGTGTAAGATGTTGATCTGTGCCTAGTTTCTGCCATACTCTTTTCCAATTTTCCTAGCAATTTTTGTCAGATAATGAGTTCTTATTCCAGAAGTTGGAGTCTTTGGGTTTATCAAACCGTAGATTATTGTAGTCATTGACCACAAGACCATTGTGTCTTGTGTACCTAACCTGCCATTCTATTTCTTAGCCACTACCAGGTAGTTTTGATGATTGCTGCTTTATAATAAAATTTAAGAACTGATATGGCTAGGCCACTTTGAGTTAGCTTTCTAGTTAGATGATTGTATTCAGAATTTCTAGTAATAATTATATTCCATATCTATTAGGCCAGTAGTAGGAACATTTATGGAAGAGAGAAAAATAAAACTTTTTTTGTCCAGGATGATTTTGGTTAAAAAAATATTATCATGTACTCTTTCAAGAGGTATATGTTTTAAGTAATTAACTTAAAAACCTCAGGTATGTAACTGTTTTTCTCAAATTTTCTATTATAATGAGCTGTTTTATTGCTGTTATTTCTCCTTTGTTTAGATGAAGAACTTCCTGATTATATCATGGTAATGGTGGCTAACAAGAAAAGTCAAGAGCAAATGACTGAGGACCTTTCCCTTTTTCTAGGGAACAACACAGTTAGATTTACTGTATGGTATGTTTATACGTGTCTACGAAACAAATTATTTCAATTTTTTTTTTTAACGTATAAGGTATACAGCGTGGAGACATTTTCTCTTGTAGAGTGAGATCATTAAAATTTCCCATTCTGTAGCCTCTTGTATGTCATATAATTTTCTTATATCTTCCAAATAAATACCTGATAAATATGCTAGTGTTTTCAAGCTACAAGATTCAGTGAATCTTCCTTTTGTTTTTTTTTTCATTTGCAAGAGTAATGCTTTTTAATCTAATTAGACTTTAGCTTCCCTTACCTCTCTTTCCTTCTCTCTTTCTTCCCTGCCCCCTGCAAGCTACATAAAAGGACATGCACATTGGCATATGGGAGTCAAATCATCATCAGTTTCCTGTAGATTCAGTATTTAAAGATGATATAAATCATAAGGATTCAAACAATAGTAGTTTAATGAGAATAAATGAAACTATTTCATTATAAAACCCTCTCCCCTATTCAATTGTTACTGTCTTCTGGTATCCTATAGTGTATTCTAGTTTTTGCATATAGATTATTTTATTTTGATTACCTGCTAGTAGCTTTTATATTTGTTGTTCTTGAGTCATTTTAGTTGTGGCCATCTCTCTATGACCCCATTTGGGGTTTTCTTGGCCAAGATACTGGAGTGATTTGCCATTTCCTTCTCCAGCTTATTTTACAGATGAGGAAACTGAGGCAAACAAGGTTAGATGACTTGCCCTGGGTCACACAGCTAGTAAGTGTCTAAGGCCAGATTTGAAATCCCAGCTTCCTGACTCCAGGCCTAACACTCTATCCACTTTGCCACCTAGCTGCCCTTGCTTTTACTTTTAGAGGCCTAGGAAATGTCTAGTTAGCATTATTCTTCTCTTATTTTTAATTTATCTGCAGATTTGAGACCATCTGATATTTTGCTTTCACAGTAGAGTGGTGAAGTCAGTTCAGATTGAAGGGGATGTGTAAAAAAAAAGTCAAACTGAACATAATATTGATTCGTAGTTTCATATACTATCCTTTTTCCTATTTATGAAAATGTCAAGTTTATAATAAAAAATAATTTTAAAAAAGTTTAATGTGAATAGGTGGTAAGGAAATCAAGAGAGTGAATAGGTAGGAATTTAGCAGTGAATGATAGGAACGTTATAAACTTGAGGGAATGGGAGAGCCAGGGAAAGATTTTCTAATAAGGAAGACCTGAACATGTTTATAAGTATCTGAGAGGAAAGTAGGTAAAGGAGAGATTGATTGAAGAAATAGGAGATAATCAATGAAGCACTTTTTGAAGGAGTTGGCAGGGAAAATGGGATCCCTTGGTAAAAAGGGCTACTTATTCCTTTTTGATTGGAGCTGAGTAGGGAAATCATGATTGAAAATGAAGAAAGGTTATAAAGTGTGGATTAGGGGAGGTAAAAGAGCTCATAAGATGGTCTTCAGTTCATTAAAGTAGTAAGTGAGTTTATCTGCTTAGTCGGAGGCAAGAACTGTGATAGAGTTTGTGGCTTGAGAAGTAGGTTTGAAAATGTCTTTGGGGGAGTATGATGGATGTAAAAATTTTTCCTAATTGATAGATTCCTTTTTCTAGGTATACTGATTTTGTGAAAAAGCTTTTAAATTTGTAGTTGAAATTTTTTCTTTTCTTTGTTTGGTTATGACTTCTTTTGGGGGAGTATCAAAGATGAATAGGGATTCTCATGTGACACTAAGGACCTCGGTGAAGTTAGATCAAATTAAGTATTTAGTGGACCTAGTCAGCATGGTTTGATGACCTTCCCCTGGATCTGAAGCACAAAAGTGAGGCATGAAGGGTGACCCTCGGCAGAAGATTAGTAGTGTAGTCTGAAGAGCAGAAGTGGAGGATAGCAAGCACTTTATTGAACTGGTTAAGAGTCAGGTCAGGATGGGAAGGGAGTAAAGTGAAGCCATAACAGATCAATGGACTGGGAAACAGTGCAGGATAGAGAGACTAGAGGTTGTTTTGAGGGTGAAGAGTAGCTTTAGGAGGGGTGAGATATGGGGACAAGTAGAGATTTTGATTAGAGAAGGAAGTTTCACAGTTAAAGATTTTGGATTTGGACTACACCGTTACCCAAAATTGTTTCAAGTTGTAACTACTGGGTGTGCTTGATTTGAGGTAGAGTGGAAGAAATTGAGGAAATTGGTCAACTTGTTTTGTTTAAAGGGTCATCAGATTAAATATTGCAGGACCTAAGGATATGGTTAAGGATCGTAGCATCATACATATACAACTGGAAGATTTAGAAGTCATTTGGTGCAATCCTTAATTTTATAGATGAGGAACCTGAGGGCCAGAGAGATTCAGTAACTTGCCCAGGGAAATGTTGCAAGTAAGTGACTGAGACAGAATCTGAATTCAGATCTTCTTGACTCCATTGTCCTAATACTGTGTGACTTAATTGCTTAGGGGTTTGAGATGGAGAAGACTATTGTGAACCAGGTACTGAACTCTTTAAGGAAATAGTAAGAGTGAGCTGGAGATGACAGCAGTGAAGAATAGAAAGGTCATCTAAATGGATAGAACAAACTTCATAGGAGGAAAGATTACTGAGGAGTGTGCCAACAAATAACTCTTGGCCCAGTGTTAGAGCATGTGAGGAGGGACCAGTACTTGAGTGAAACTCAGGGCGAAGTCAGGTTTTACCCAGGGCTTTAGGATGGAATGGATTATGAGAGGAGGCATTCTAGGCTGAAGAATAGATCAGACTTCCCAGAGGTCTCAGTGGATGGGAAAGTCAGAACAGTATAGCAACTGGGGTAGGGTAAGATTGATTTGATTGGGGTGAGAATTCTGGGGGAGGTGGGGAAGTAGAGGTTTTGTTTAATCAGATGGCAGTTCTGAATTAAAAGCATTAGAGGGGAATGTGAATTTTATCATAGGATAGGAGAAATGTGATGTATGGAGAAGCTTGTAGACCATATAGGCCCCAAAGTTCTATTTACAGCATTGATGTGAAGGAGGCTTCTTCTGTCAGTGGTATTTCCTAGGTGGAACCCAGTATATTGATGGGGGCGGGAGGAAGGAATGGGAGAATTCTGAAGTGAACAAAAGTCTTCAGCAGTTTCTTTTTTAGCTTTTCCCCTTTTCAGATAGAGTCTCTTCAGTTGTTAAGAGTGGGGAATGGGGGGACCAGTGGGTTATGGCTGCCAGGAGGTTCATAAAGTGAGGGCGGTTTTAGCCATTTCTCTTTCTGGAGTATCTATAAAACTATCGCATTAATTTTTTTTTCTTTTATAAACTTTAAAGCTGTCAACCTAATCAGTCAAATAAACATGTAAAACAAGAGGTAAAATCTCATTCAAAGCCCTTAGCCTTTAGTAAGATGGAACCAAATGAATTAACAAAAAAGACCACAAGCAAAGAACCAAGACTTTCTGAAGTTCCATCATCTTTGGTCCTTTTTTCTTTGTCTTTCCTTTTTCCTCTTCTTTTCCACTTTCTGGTAGCATTATTTTGAACAGAATGTGCTCAGTAAAGGGTTTTACCATATTTTAATATAGCTTATAACTCCATGCCCCTTAGGACTAAGGCATGCAGAAGATTATATAAGCTATTAAATTTAGAGGATATCTCATCATGAATATATGAAAATATGCAGTAATTTTAGTCATGTATATTATTACTTCAGGGCTTGGTAATTCAATGTCTGTATTCCTTATGACACAATGAAATAAAGTAGTCATGGTCAAATGATGCTCCTTTTTCTTATGGTGAAAGCTCTAGGTATTGAAATCAGCCACTAAAAATCTTTTGAATCTGGTTGACTTCTGCAAGGTTAGTAGAGTCAAAAGCAGAAAAGTCAGCTCTACAGAAAAATCTGTGCAATATGACAGTCAGTTTTAATACTGTTTATCCATTTTAAAAGAGTGATCCTGTAATATCATCATACTTGTGGTAGGAGTCTAAGGGAAGAGGACAGTTGAATGAAATTAACTTGAATTTAGAAAGATTTTTCATTTTTCTTTTTTCTTTTAGGCTTCATGGTGTGTTAGATAAACTTCGCTCTGTAACTACTGGTAAGATCTATTATAATGTCAGTTTGGAATTTGCAGGATTTTTTTCTTTCTCTGCTATTTTAATAGCATTTGTGCTCTTTTGAAAAGAAAAGATGACTTTTAAAACATTGGTCTAAATGGCTATTAAAAAATACTTCCATCAATTGAAATCACAATAAAATTATCTTCATTTTAAGTATTTTAGATTTACCTTAAGGCAGACCATCCATTTTCTTTCACAGAGCCTTCCAGTCTAAAATCTTCTGAGACCAATATCTTTGAAAGTAGTTTGCCTTCACACAAGAGCAGTTTAGGTGGAGGAGATGAAAGAAGACATGAGGACACATTGCTACCTCTTGCTGTTTCTAGCACTCGCTCTGAAAAAAATGATTCCAGAGTTTCTACAAGTTCCCAAGATCACAGAACCTCTACTATCAGGTAAGAATCTCATGCCCAGTACTTAACACACAATAGCCATTTAACATTTACTAGCTGTGTGACCCTGGACAAGTCACTGAACCTCTCTGAGCCTCAATTTCCTCATTTGTAAAATGAGGATGTTGAACTTAATGACATCCCAGGCCCCTTCCAAATCGTAAGTCTGATCTCCTAAATATAGTATGAGTGAGTATAAAGAGATTAGTTATCTTGAATTTTAGAAAATATGGAGGCATAGCCAGGAAAAAAAGATTATAAGTAACTTTTGTTAAGTGAAATAAGGCAGAATTAGGATGTTCTTAGGAGATTATTATCTGTGGCCAATACTTAGTTTAAGCCAAAGTACAAAGAATAAAAAGGAAACTAAAGTACTTTTTGGGTAGAGTCTGAAAAAGTAACTTCTAAACTCTTGATTTTGCATTCTTTTTTTTCATAATCATTTTTTGGAAATGTTTGAAGTTCTTAGTCGTAGTTTAATCTGTTTTCTTTTTAAATAGGCAGCCTTATGATGATGGAACTGCAGCTCGACTCATGTCAACAGTGAAACCTCTTCGAGAGCTAGCTCCTTCTGAAGATGTAATTGATATTAAACCAGAACCAGATGATCTCATTGATGAAGACCTAAATTTTGTCCAGGAAAACACTCTTTTATCACGGAAAAAACCTATTGTGACAGTTACATACAGTTCTTCTCGTCCTTCTGTTGAAATCTACCGACCTCCAGGAAGTCGAAATACAGATAGCAATGCACATTTACACAGGTTGCATTTGCAGCAGCAGAACAGTGTGCAGACTGGCAAGCAGCTAGACATACAGACCAGCAGGTCATTTGAAACAATACATCTGTGTGAGTCAGAAGCATTTAGTGGCTTAGCAGAGACCTACAGGCCTATCACCAAAGCAAACTCTGATAAAATAAGCAATGAGGTTTGTATAAAGGCATAAAATTTAGTTTTTTTTAATACTTGCGATGGATAGACAGAATGATAGCAATTAGGATCTGAAAAGATCTGGTCATTCTAAGAATATGGAGTGAGTCTATAAGATGAAATTTAATACAAATAAAAGTCCTGCATGTGGGTCCCGAATATTAATTGTACACATTACAATTATGTAATTGTAATTGGGGGAATATATATCTAGATCATATGGAAAAAATACGGGGGGGAGGATGTTAGTAAACTATGAATTCATTATACTCTTAAGCAGCATCAATAGATGTATAGTGTCCAAAATGTGGGAGAGTAACGTTAGAGTCCCCATCTACTCTCTCGTCATACTAAATGTGGAGTATTGTGTTCAGTTTTGGGTACTGCATTTTAAAAGGAACATTGACAAACTGGAAAGTATCCAAAGGGAAGATAGTGAGGCGCATCAAAACAATGTCATAAGATTTAGTTGAATTGACTGGGAATGCTTCACCTGGAGAAGAGAAAACAACATTGCCCACAAGCCTTATTATGGTCTTTAAAAATATTCAATGCATGGGGCAGCTAGGTGGCGCAGTGGTTAGAGTACTGGCCCTGGAGTCAGGAGGACCTGAGTTCAAATGTGGCCTCAAACACTTGACATTTACTAGCTGTGTGACCCTGGGCAAGTCGCTTAACCCCATTGCCTAGCCAAAAAAAAACAAAACAACAAAATGTGTGTGTGTGTGTGTGTGTAATGTATTAGCATATAGAAGTATTAGTTTTAGCCTGACCCCAGAGGGCAGAAATGTGACTGATGAATGGAGAAAGGCAAATTTAGTTCAGTAGAGGGAGGCACTTCTAACAAAAAGGGAAGTCCAAATATAGAATGTGCTGATTTGAAGAGAGTTCTTTTTTCCTGGATTTTTTTATTTTTTTTTTTTACGTGAGGCAAATGGTGTTAAGTAACTTGCCCAGAGTCACACAGCTAGTGAGTGTTATGTGTCTGGGGCCAGATTTGAGCATAGGTCCTCCTGACTCCAGGGCCAGTGCACTATCCACTGCACCACCTAGCTGCCCCCCTGGAAATCTTTAGGTAATAACTTGACTACTTGTTAGGAATGTTGTACAATGGGTTAATGTTTCAGGTATAGATTGAGCTAGATGCTCTCTAAGGTCCCTTGCAGCTCTGCAGTTCAGTTAGGAGTTAGCATTTTAAGTCATCTTTGCCATGAAATATTCCATGATACTATTAATCTGACTGGCTTTTAAATTTTTGCTTAAATATATCTTCTAAGTAGAAATTAGCCATTATCTAAATAGAGAAGCACTCCTAAGTATTTCTGGTTGCAGGAAGAAAACTTTCGGAAGAGAAAGTTGCCTGTGGTAAGTTCAGTTGTTAAAGTAAAAAAGTACAATAATGATGGAGAAGAGGAAGAGGAAGAATATGGATTACGTATAGGAAGTGTGTCTAGCAGTGTGTCTGTGCCAGCAAAACCTGAAAGAAGGTACGTGAATAACATGTAAACCAGTATTCATGATTTGGTCATTTGGGAAACATGTACTTTCCACTAAAATCTTCCACTAGTGTGTCATTGTGGCTTAGAGGTGACCTTGATTTTTTTTAACTTAATAAATACTTGTTGATTGTTTAGGAGAGCTGCAAATTCTGGCAGGTCCTTCCAAGCTGGACAGGTTTCAAATAGGGGTTTTATGTAGGATGGTATGTCTGTCATCTTAGGACAAGCCTAGCTAAATTGGGGAGATGACTCATAACTATATTGTTCTCAGGGTGATAAGATTTTTAGGCTTGGTGATTCTTTTATTTTTTTTAATAATATTTTATTTTTTTCCCAATTAATCTAAAAATAATTTCATAACCTTCAGTTTTTAAAAATTTTGGGTTTCAAGGTATAGCAATTCTTGAAGATCATCTTCTAAGTTTTAAGTTATTAGTTTTGATCTAGGTTGGAGAAAACACTGCTTATGCTGACTTCAGGTACTAAGGTATGGTCTAAAATAGTATTGTAGATAAAAACAGTAACACTGATATAAATAAATGATTATGAATGGATAGGTTAGAGGTGAGACATTGTTTATATTTCAGGTGGAATTCTGTGCACGTTTTGGCAAGATTTTGGCTTAAGACTATTTTGTTTTTGACTACCAAGTACTAAGTTGGCACTGTATATATCTTCTAAAAGTTGAAGTTAATTTATTCAAAATGTAAGACAAAGCTGTAGTAAAGGGAATAGATACATAAAAGATAAGTAACTTCAGAGAATTCCTCTTCTGAGAACAAGTATCTACTAAAAGTGAATTTCTTGAAACCTTACATTTTTTAGGCCTTCGCTCCCACCGTCCAAACAAGCTAACAAGAACCTAATATTAAAAGCTATATCAGAAGCTCAGGAATCTGTTACAAAAACAACCAACTATTCCACAGGTAATTTAGCTTTTTGCTCTACTTATAGCTTATAGCTTGAGAGAATGTCATTGATAACTCAGGTGTGTAGCGAAAAGAAGACTTAAGTTGAGGTAAAGGGAGGTTGCATGGAGATTCAAGGCTTTTGTCATATCAAGAACAAAGAATGAGGTGAGAAGCAGGAAAGTGTTTTTAGGAAGAACATTGATACGGCAAGATATGGTAACATTCAAGGGAAGGTTGTTTAAAATAGATGAAAACAAGATCATCAACCATTGTTTAAATTTTTAAAGAAAGAATTTGAATTAAGAAAATATTTTAACTGGGAGAAATTAAAGTAGTTTCAGTTTCATTTAATCCAGACTATTAGTATATGAACAAGTTTCTACTTTCTCATCTCTTCCCTCACTTCTTCCATTAATGTAAAAAAAAGAAAACCAAACAAACATAAGGGAGAGAACTGAATCTTTTATGTATTTTTCCCTCTATAATTGATGTTTGATGAATGGTGATAGCACTAGATTTATGAGAAAAAAAACCACAACTCATAAAAATCGTCATTTTTTTCCTTTAAGGAAATTTAAGAGTAAAATTATGCTTTTTGCATAATTCTACTGTTGAGAGAATGAATTTCAATCAGATAGCTATAATTTTGCGGTGAACTAAAACTCAGACATTGTGCACTATGATATTATTGCATTCTTTGCCATCCTGCCTCCATAACCAATGTATTAAAATTCCAGTTACTATTTTGTTGTTGACAACTAGAATTTGGGGGGCTAGCTCTTTCCTGAGGGCTCTGCTCTTCTTGGCTTTCTGCTTCCCCTCCTTTTCTCTCTGTGTTCTGAGTGAATGAATGAATGAAGCATTCATTATACATTTACTATGTGCAAATACTGTGGTAAGTGCAGGAGATACAAATAGAAAAGTCAGACAGTCTGCACTCTCAAGGAGCTCACGTTCTAATGGGGGAGACCACACATGTGAAAGGTTTCACCTGCAAGTCAGATGGAAAGGTCCCCTTATCCTTAGGGTGCAATGGCAAAGAGATGGTAATGCCTCTTCTTTAATGTCATTTCCACTAATAAAATCATATCAGTTTCTGATGTTGAAATACTTTACAGTGCCAAAGACTTTGGTGACAAGAATTTTCTGGTCTTTAATAGATGTAGCCATAGTACCTGCAGGAACAGTTGGCAAACTCCATCTCCATAGGGTTTACTTCCTGGGATGATGGCTATGGGTACTGGATTGAAAGCTTTGCTCTTCCAAAGACTTTTGGGTTCTGAATTCTGGGTCTGAGGGTAGATGATGGTCAAGGTAGTAGTGGTGGTTTGATTTGCCTGGCCCATGCTGCCTTCTCTCTCCCTCAGTGTATCTTGCTGCTTTAGCTAGGCTGGCTTGCTTGTCCCATGAGCAGCAGTTGGTTGGTGAGGTTGGCAATGCCCCTTTTCCTTGAATAAGTATTGTGAGGACTGGACTGGAAGCAGAACTGGTGTTCTTGGGGCATTGCCATTCCAAGGACTCCTAGGAGTTTGGGCTACTGGTGGCAGTTGATCAGCAGGTATTGCTGGTAGTGATGAGGAAGGTAGACCTCTCCACAATGAGTTTTCTCCACTTGAAGGCTGTAGGGACTGGGCTGGAAGCAGGTCTGATGGTTTGGGGTACAATGCTATCATTAGAGCTTTTTAGGTTCAGGGTCCTAGCTGTCTTCAACAAGGTCTAAAGGGAGATGGTCAATCAGTCAAGAAGCATTTATTAAGCATTTACTATGTGCCAGGCACTGGGTTACAGAGAAAGTATAAAAAAAAACAAACAAAACTCTCTTCTTTTGGGGATCTCACAGTCTGATAGGGGAATCAACATGTAAACAACTGTATATGCACAAGATATATATAGGATTGGGGATAATCAACAGAGGGTAGGTCATAGCAGTGAGAGGAGATTCCGTGAAAGGCTTTTTATAGAAGGTAGGATTTCAGCTGGGACTTGGAGGAAGCCAGGGAAACTAATAGGTAGAAAAGATGAGAGAAGAAATTCCAGACGTGGGGAATAGCCAGTGAAAACACTTGAGAGTCAGAAGATGGTGAACTGGAGGTTAGAGTATATGGAGGGTAAGTAAAATGAAAAAACACAAGAAAGGGGAGGTTAAGTTGTGAAGGGCTTAGAATGCCAAACAGGATTTTATATTTGATCTGGAGGTGATAGGGAGCCATTGGAATTTATTGAGTAGGGAGTGAAGGGTGTCATCGCACTTTAGGAAGATCACTTTGGCATCTGCTTGGAGGTTGTTCTTGAGTGGAGAGAGACTTCTGGCAGAGAGACCAAAAATAAGCTATTGCTGTAGTGCAGGTGAGAGATGCTGAGGACCTGCATAGGAGTGGTGTCAGTATTAGAGGAAGCAGGTATATGAGAAATGATAAAAAGATAAAATCAGTAGGACTTGGCAAAAAATTGAATTTGAGGAATAAGAGTTTAATGGATGATACCTAGGTTGTAAGCCTGAGTGACTTGGAGGGAGGATAGTGGTATATACTCATCATAAGATGATGGAGGTGATGGTTTGACTTGCTTAGCACACACTACCTCCTCTTTCTTCCTCAGGGTGCCTTGCTGCTTCAGCTATGCTGAAGAGAGTTAATTACTGTCAGCATTTGTTTAAAATAAAGATCTCTCCCAAGAAAAATTTAACCCTGAATATGCAGTTGAACATTCTGGAGCCAAATGGCTCGGATTGCCAGAGTGTTCTTTCTGCATGAGATTGGAGCAAACATGAAAAATATCTGGAACTTCAAAGTGGGTTGACCTGATTTACATTCATTCTTCCTTTCCATTTCATCACCAATTCTCATAACAATGAAAAAAGGGTAGTAGTGTTAAGTGTCTTGAAAATCTGTTAGAAACTAGTTGTACATAAACCCGTCTTTAAAGAAAGAGCTTTGACATTTTTCCTAACCCTAGACCCATAAGAGTTAGGTTGTGAAGTCCTCATGATATCATGAGGATTAGTCAGTGATAAGTGTATATGTTATATGGTAGATATAAATTTGGAATAGGAATAATGGTTCCTTTCTCTCCATCCTATCAGAGATGCAGTAGGCATAAATAAGGCAAGGTAGTGAACTACTTTAGTCTTCATAAAACATTATATAAACTTAAGGTGATGTTACTGTTAGATATGATGACATTCAAAATTGAGATTTGATATGCAATAATACCATTTATATATTTCTCTCTTATGTGAAAGTCCCACAGAAACAGACGGTTCCAGTTGCTCCCCGAACTCGTACTGCTCAGGAAGAATCTCTAATAGAAGTGGTCCAGGGGCAAAGCAGGCTGCCCAGATTAAGTCCTCCAATTCAACTAGAGGAAGCAAAAGAACAGAGTTTAGAAAGAATTCAAGGTAATGGTAAAGTGATACTCAGTTTTTTATTGCACATTTCCTCAAGTGAAATTAACATTTGCTGTACTGTTAGAAAAATAATTAACCCAACCCTAAATTTAAGAACTTAGAAGGAGCCTATGCAGAGATAGTTTTTCAGTGAATGTTTGTTGATGAAGTCTACAGTTTCTTACCTCAGGGAAGACCTATATCTAATGTGTGTGAGAAACATTCTATCCTTACATTTTTAGTAACAATAGCTAACATTTACATAGCGCTTTAAGGTTTGTAAAGCGCTTCACAAATAATATCTCATTTTATCCTCACTGTAATCCTCAGAGGTAGGTACTGTTATTACTCCCATCTTCCAGAGAAGGAAACTTCGGTAGACCGAGGTTAAGTGACTTGCCCAGAATCACACAGCTAGTAAGCATCTGAAGCCAGATTTGAACTTCCTAAATTCAGATCCAGCACTTAATAATATTATCATTACTTACATTTTGCTGAGGAAGAAGGTTGTATTCTTTTTCTCTCTTTCCGTTAATGCCCCTACTGTTCTCCTGGGTTTAAAACATTTAGTCATTTTAAATTGTTCTCTTTGATTTTCCCATTCATATATAGTCAATAATTGAATCTTGTCAGGTATTCATTCTCAGTGTCTCAGATTAATTCCTTCATCTCCATTCCCATTGCTCCCTACCCTTCCACCTCTAGTCCAGGCCCTAATCACTATGCCATCATTGGTTTTATTGTCTCCAAATTTTTCCTTTGCTTTAAACCATTCTGTGCAACCATTAGCTACATTGATCTTCCTAAAATACTTTCACCATGTTACTTTCCTATTCATGAGCCACAGTGAGTCCACAATTAGCACCTGTACCAATTATAAATTCCTTTGCTTACTTTTCAAGGCTCTGTATGATTTGGGCCCACCCTAACCTATTGCATCCTGTTTCAAACTACTCCTCAGTTGAATCTTGCACCCTAATCTTTTCACCGTACTGGATCCCCAACACCCAGGTACTCAGTCCTTCTGCTGTTGCTCATGTTATTCAGCACCTTCACCTCCCTCTACCTTCAGATCCTTCTTTGCAATATGGAGTGTTTTATGTTGATCCTTTCTGCACATTGAATGTATAGCTCAAGTCTTACTTGCTTTGTGAATGTTTCCTTGACAGTTCTGTCCCACATTAAATTGTATTTTTTCAAAGTCCTTTGCACTTTTCTTTACAGTGTAATTTAACCCTATTTATTTATGTATTTATTTATTTTTGCCAGATTTCACTAGTGTAGTAAGCTCTTGGTAAAGAACTTATACCACTGTAGATTGGCACACGCTCCATAGTTTAGAGTCTTAGAGAGTTGCCTAGGACATTGAGAGTTAAATGACTTATCCAGTGTTGTACAGCCAGTATGTGTCAGAAGTGAGCCTTTAATTCAGGTCTCCCTGACTCTCAGACTAGCTCCATCTCTATCTGTCATGCCATCCTGCCTCTCTTCTCATCTAGATAGTAAGATAGGACTGTCTTAATCATATTTTACCTCTGTACTATCTAGTAGAGTTAGACATAGGTGTGTTCAGCATTGTGCTTATTCAACAAATATTTTAGTTCTTGCTCTGTGCTTACACTCTGGTAGGGGTTGTGGGTACTATAAAAAGAAAGGTTGTCTTAGTCTTCAGTTAGTAGTTACTCTGTTCAATTGTTTCCTAACTCATGATTAGGAATTTTTTTCTCAATTGTCTAAGGTACATTTCTCTGATTGATGTTTATCTTTTGTTCGTGGGTGTATTTTCTCTCTTTCTCTTTCTCTCTCTTGATCTCTTTAAATAATTTGTACGATAGTCATGGTGTCTCTGATCCTTTTTATCCTCTTCTGTAAAATCCAGCAGATATTTATTGGGGTAGTAACTTTCATTATTCACCTAAGAAGATTGTAAGGAAAGAGCTTTGTAAACTGTAAAATGCTAGGTATAAATGAGAGTTGTTATTATCTTTAATGATTTTTAGACCTGTGCTTTTATTTTTAGATTTTTATTTATTTGTATTTATATTTTTTATTTTATTTTATTATTTTTATTTTTAGACCTGTGAGGTAGCTCTCAAAAAGGAAACTTCCTCTACCAATACAGATTTTCACCAGCTCTGCAATTTTTGGTGTTAGAGAGTTATCTGTGGGTTCTAAGAGGTTAAATGACTTGTCCTTGAGATCATGCAGCAAAAATTTGTCAGAGGTGGGCCTTGAACCCCAGTCTTCCTTACTTCATAACTAACTCTTCACTATGTCATTACACCTCTCATCAATGATAATGACAACCTTAATATACTTCACTAGTGATAAATCACCTCTTTACCACTTTTTTCTTTATACTAAATGATTACATTTTCTAAACCCATTTAATCATTGTTTTCCAAACCGTTTCATAGTTTTTCAGATTTTCTCTTAAGTTGTAGAGGCTATGTCTGGGTTCTGCAGTACTAACTTTGAATAAGAAGGAATAAACTTGGGAGATCACATTTTTAATAACTTCTCAAGCTTAGCATTTTACAATACTCATAGTTGGAATATTGTATGGTTAAAAAATGCTTTCTTATCCCTTTCATATCTTTTATTTATTTATTTATTCCACTTAATATTTTGAGTCATTAAAACAATGGCCTGTCCAATTCTTGGCCACCGCTAAACCTGTAAATTATGTTTTTAATTTGCCTTTCAGGTTAGATTGAAAGCTGCTTTTGCTTTTGAAATGTGATTTGTAACCCTAAGAGAGTTCAGTTAAAGTCTCTTCTAAAGTTTTAATTCAATGCCTCATTTTAACATGGAAGTGATCCTGGGCTTTTAAAGACTTTGCCAGTACAACACAAGTTCTGGGCAGGTCCTACCAATCTGAAAAGATTTCTCCTAATACAGTGTGGTTAAAATTATCCAAGAACCATCCTAGTTCATTTTTCAGTGTTATCATTTGATAACACTTTTTTTTTGTGGGAGAGGGCAGGAAACTCCTCATAGAGGCTATATGCTAAGGTAGTAAGGTAAGGGTTTCAATCTAAGTCTGTGGAGGGTACCTACACTGATGAAATCATGGATCTTTTTAATAAGTTTAATTGATAGGGAAAATCACCCATGAAAATCCTTACTCTATAGTGAAAGCTTTACATAACATGGTAAGCCTATATCCCTGGTGTCGATGAACCTGGACAGGCAGTCAGTAAAGAAACAAATGGCAAAGGAAGATGATATTGCTCTTCCAAACTCAAGACTGGACAAAGACCAAAACACTGGGAAGATTTTAGAAGTTGTTTTTGAGTGCCCTCTAGTGGAGGCCTTTCAGTAGCCTCAGCTTCTCTTTTTGATTCGTTATGAAGTTAGGACATTTCTAATTCTTTGACTAATTTCTCATGCTCTCTGTAGTTTAAGAGTTGCAGGCTTATTTACATACACGTCAAGGGCTAAATCATATAGACCTAAATGCCTTCATCTCTTTTTCAGCCCATTATTTTGGCAGGCATTTATTTGGTTGTGAGTATAAATATAATAGATTATCATAGTTAATCTTCCTAATCATGACATTGATTGCTGTTCTGTCTCCTAGCCAAAATGATCAGTGACAAACATTTGCAGATTCAAAAATGCGTAGATATATTACAGTTGAATTTGTTTCTGAGGCTACTATAAAATTTCACAGCCTTATTTTTTTGCTGTTTTTTGTCCCTTCCTCCTCCACCCCAGTACTGTATATGCACTTGATATTTCTATGCTGAAATAGGTATAGGAGTCTTAAAACTAAGTAAAACGAAATTTAAAATGCAGAAGATCAGGCGATGACAAAAACAAATAGAACATTTTTGTGATATTTTGTTAAAATTAATTTACATATTTAAAAATAAATTGTGACAATATATAATTATAACTGGATAATTAGAGACTGTTTTTTTTTACTAGCATTCTTCTAGAAACAGCATGAGCTCCACATCACCCACTATCACTTAGTCTGTATCCTAAGAGGTTTGGTAGCTAGTTCCTTTAGTTCAGAGGTCTTTTAAATTAATTCCTAGATAACTCAGAGTTGTCTTTCTTTGTACGTAGGTGATCCTGTATGGTGTTTTTGAGACCTTTGAGAAATTTTAGTCCTCCTTTAGTTTCTACCAAAACCCACTATTCTGCCTACAGATGATTTAACCTGGGAAACAACGATAGCCTAAAATAAATCTATACTGCACCTCTAGAAACTTTGTGGTTCCATTTAAGTAATAAAATAACTCAGCAGCACAGGTAGTACTTTTATCTCTTCCATTTTGATAGTTATAGTTTTAGAAGGAAGGGGGATATTAGAAGTGAACAGCTTGACAGAATGGTACTAGGATACCCTCTGGACAACGGACAGACCAGAATTATCCGGAAGAATGTATCTTGTGAGATATCCTGCTGACCTGTTCAAGATCACACTTAATTTTTATTTTAGGAGGAGGGAGAGAAAGTTGAGGATTGACAAAAACCAAATATTATGAAAGGTGGGAGAAGAAAGAAGTAGCATAGTGGAAATGCTACCTGGTAGTTCTCAGCTGAAAATAAAAGCAAGTTGGTTGCTAACAGTAACTAATACTTAAACTAACATACAAGAGGTAGGTAACATAAGGTATATATATCACATAGCAGCTATTCAAACTTAGTGAAACTGGACTAATAACTTGAATATGGCAATTAAAATTATACGTTATTCAAAAGCAGTGTCTACTAAACAGTGAATGGGAGGAGGAGCAGTAGCATTGTTTGTAAAGAAGATAAAAGACCTGGAGTTCTTTTCATGGACCTCAAAGTAGAAACATGGTAGAGAGTGTTTGGGAGAGGAGAAACAGAAGTAATATTATTATTATAGGAAATATACTATAGACAGAATATGGATGGGGCTATCTTTTTTTTAAAAAAATATTGGATTATAGGATCGTAGTTTAAAGCTGGAAGGGACTTTTGAGACCATTGAATCCAACCTCCTTTTACAGATGAGGAAAAACTGAGGCACA